ACTACCTAATGGTTGGTCTAACTCACTGTTTATAGCTCTACCTAAGAAGACAACAGCAAAAACCTGTGCTGATTATAGAACCATCAGTTTATTAAACCACTTATTGAAAATTGTTCTGAAGGTAATACATGGTCATATCTACAATAAATGTGAGGAATACCTGGATGACACTCAGCTTGGTTTCCGTAACGGATTTGGAACGAGAGAGGCACTGTTTGGAATGAACGTACTTGCTTAAAGATGTCGTGATATATCTGTAGACATATACTGTTGTTTTATTGACTTTCAAAAGGCATTTGATCGTGTTAAGCACTCTATATTGATCGAAGCTCTAAAAGACATTGGCTTGGACGGCAGAGATGTTCGAATAATTGCAAATTTATATTGGAATCAAACAACATCAGTTTTAGTAGATGGTGTGGAATCACAAGCTCTCAATATTAAAAGAGGAGTACGGCAGGGATGCCTCTTGTCACCCCTACTTTTTACTTTGTTTACTCCGAAAGAATTTTCAGAAAAGCACTTTCTGAAAAACAAGAAGGAATACTTGTGAACGGCAAAGTCATCAATAATTTGCGATATGCGGACGATACAGTACTCCATAGTCAAGAAGATCTGCAAACACTACTTGATAGTGTCGTTGAGAGTTGTAGGGAGGCAGGTCTGGATCTTAACATAAGGAAAACCAAAATACTTGTAATAAGTAAACAACAGAATATAAAACCGTCTATATATGTAAATAATACCAAACTTGAGCAAGTTGATAAAATCGTCTACCTTGGACAGCAATTAAATTGTAATGCAGAAAATCACGGCGAAATTAGATCCAGAATAGAGCAGGCTAGAGCTGCTTTTAGAAGGATGTCCAAGGTGTTATGTAACAGAGACCTAAAATTGGCATTAAGGATCCGCCTACTTCGCTGCTACGTGTTCTAGGTCTTACTTTATGCTGTCGAGTCCTGGACTGTGAATAAAATCGATCTAAATCGCCTTGAGGCTTTCGAAATGTGGTGCTATAGAAGAATTTTAAAAGTTTCCTGGGTGGAGAAGATTCGTAACTCCACAATACTTGAACGTCTCAGCAAGACTACTGAGATCATAAAAAGCATCAAGCATCTGCTACAAAATATCATGCAAGGAAAAATAGCAGGCAAATGCAGTCCAGGACGAAGAAGAACCTCAAGAAGTTATCAGCGATATCTAAATAGCTAAAATCTTTCAAAAGTATATGGTTTTATTGTTACATTAATGCTCCATTCTATATCATACCTTTTGTCTGTTAATGAACTTTTATTTGGTTTTCTTGTTATTGACTATAACACCGTTTTTTTTACGCTAAAATCATTATTCAATATATTATAATGTGTAATTTCTCTGGCTGCTGACGAACAGAAGTTTTTATTAACTTTTCTTTAATATAATTATGTATGCAGATTTGTATTTTGATCTTCTCACGGTGCTAAAGAGCAAATCTCATAGTTTATTGTATTTTTCCATAAGATTTCTAGTTTTTCACTGTGTTATGGCTCCTCTTATTTCTTTTCCTACGATTTACATTAATTCATTTAATTATTATTTCTGAAATTTCAAGTTTATACACAGTTTCTTTTGTTCCGCTTATTTATCTAAGATATGTTATTCATTCTTATCTATCTATCTATCTATATAAGGATTTTTACAGCTGTCGCCGCCTTCCTTCTTTCAGCCAACGTCTCCAGTCCTCTCTGTTCTGCCATTCTCCATCTCTAAGGTCTCGTTTTTCCATGGCCTCGTCCACTTCATCCCTCCATGATCTTCGGGGTCTACCTCTTTTTCTCCTTCCTATTGGGCTCCAATCCGAAATCCTTGCTATCCACCTTGTATGATCTGTTCATTCTTATCTATAGATGTGCTTATTCCCTATCAATTATCTATCAATATTTGAAGTCTTTTTTTATTTGTTTTAGTCATTGTAATGATTCGCATCCGTACATAAAAATAGGTCTAAAGCTTGTATTATGCTCTAAACTCCTTCAGTGGTAGTATTACCAACTGCGATTATTGTTCTAAGATATTTAACGTCTTCCATACTTTCGAAATTGAAATTGTTGACTTTAACGTTGTATCTAGATTTACTGACGGTCTCTTATGTTTATGCGCTGGTATTTGGTTTTCACTTCGTTGATTTTACTTGAAACTTTTTTCGTGCTCTCTGGACTTTGTTCAGTATGTCGTTTACATATTTATAGATGTAATCATCAGCATAACTAGGAGCTGCTTTGTACCTTGGGCCGTTAATGGATTACATCGTAAATCGGCGCTGTTTCTATTTTAATAAATTGTTCTTTAATTTTTTGACTATTTAAATCGAGAATCTGTATTTTATTCGACTGTTTATTAAGGCAGAGTTTCTTGGGGCCAATTTCTCTCTCAAGGTTTTTGTTTCCCGTATCAATATTACAACAATTTTGCTGGATGCCGACATAGGAAACCCGTTGGTATGTACATACTGTTTCGATATCTTCTTGTCTCGTTATAAAGTGAATATTAGTTTATTAGGAAATATGATATTGTCTAATAATAGTTAAGTTGTTTTGCTTTGCTTTCTCAGACTGCTACCGTCGTACCTTCTGGTATTTGATATTTCAACCGTCAAGCAACAATTCCTATATGCATTAACTTAATGCTGATATCCTGCTTCCCCAATTCAGTTAGCAGTCCCGAAACCAATAAAATTGCTACATTCAAGTTTTCTATTAAGCTGCCCAGAACTATAGGTACGCCTTATTATCTTACTGATGTTAGTGCTGCCCCTTATAAGTGAATAAAATATGAAAGGAAGGTTTTGGTAATATAATAAGATCCTTGTGTTACAATATAATGTCTCCGAGAAAGTAAAGTAATATCAAAAAGCTATTCGGATTTAATCCATAGCTAAAATATTAGAATGCTATAAAATAATGCTATATATTAGCATTAATAAGTTTATAATGGATACTAAAGTTTGAAAATAATTAGAGCAAGTAATTTAAATTATCAAAGTGCTTATTAAACATAAAAATAAAATAAAATTATATTAACAATTTATATTATAATATATTTAAAAACAGTAGCCAAATATTCTTGGAATTCTTCGATGACTAACCTGGTGGATATTTAAATAAATTTTAAGTTCTAAAATGTACCTGCTCTAAAATTTGAAAATCTACGACTAATACAACTACTGGCAACATCGCAGGAGCTTAGTTGTGTACGCTAAAAGCTGTATACGGATCCCAAAAATGTTTTATCCAGTTACGGAGTCCACTTGATCCGACGTGTTGGTCGGAGTCTACATAAAGCGCTACTCAGATAATAATATACACGGCGTATATTCTCCTGGAGTTAGTATAATACCGTTTTAGTACGGAGCCCACATTAACCGCTAGAAGTATATATATATATATATATATATAATATATATATAATTATATAATATATATATATAATATATATATATATATATATATATATATATATAATTAGTTCTACGTTTCGATATGTAAGGAAAAATCGAGGTTTTTAAACTTGTAGAAAATTTTATTATGTTGACATAGAAAGCTTGATATATTAAGAGTTTGTCAAAAATGATCTTAAACTTCAGTAATTAATACCCTTGTACCAGATCAATAGGCCTTTGTGATTATGCAAGTAGACCCGCTAAGCTCTCTTATTTAAAACAAGCCCTAATCCAAATTTAACAGTCCCTCGTCTTTGTAATATTGTAAATATTCAATCCGTTTTGATTTTATATCGTATTTCTCCATTAAAACTTTTACAGTTTTTCTCCATTAAAATCTTATTTTTTAACTAATTTTCTACACGAGTGTATTTTATCACTAAAGTTTACTCCTTCTCCATTCTTTACTTCTTCAAAAATTCTTTTCATTCTTCTTCGCGTGCCATATCAGAATTATCCGACGTTGGCAATCACCATTGCGAAGGCTTCTCGATTTTCTGCAATATGGAATAATTGTCCTGCATTTGATATCCATTTAAGTCCATTCAAGAAGGTTTCTTAACCAAGAAACTTGTTTTCCTCCTACACCTCTACGGCCCTCTATTTTGCCTTTAAGGATTAGTTGTAATATTTTATATCGACTTCCCCTTACTATATGTCCCAGATAAAACATTTTTAGATGTTTAACAGTCTTTAGCAGTGCTCTACCTTTGTTGACCTCATTAGTTTTCCTTGCTGTCCAAGGTATCTTCAGGTATGAACCCACAATTCCAATGCTTCAATACTTTTAATTATAAGTCTTCTTTTGTGGATTGCTTCAAACTCATTAACGGACCGTTTGGAAGTTGAAGGTTTGTTAATAGTTTTTTGATGTGATTTAAAGCGTTCACCAGGAAATTTTTTATATGATTCTTGAACAGTACGTTTCACCGTGTTGACAGAAACATCACAAGCTTTGGCCACTATTTCGTGCAAATTCGTCATGGGGATAGTTAGGAATTCTTGTTCCATTATCCAAATCCATTACCACATATTTTTTCAAACTTTAGAAGTGTGTATAGTAGGTAGGTGCATAATTTTACTATTTATGAAATTCAAACTTTTCGAAGAAATTCGATAATAATTATTTTATTACAAATTTGGAATATTCTTTGAAACTGATGGAATACCTTAAATATTATAACAGTTCAAATTTTTCTCTTAGTCTATTACGCATTCAAAATTTACTATCCAGGAGTCGATGCAATATTGGGACCTACAATGCGAGAGTGAACTAACTGATTCCTTTAAGCCCGTGACTGTGACTCAGGCAAGGCTTAAAGTGTGTTTATAACACGGGGTACATCAGTCCTTCTTATTATTAAAATGGTAATTTAATAAATTAGAGTTTATGAATTTACTTATTTAGATTATTATTCTTTGGCACTTTTTTTGGTTTTAAGTTTTTGTAACATATTCTGCAATATACTCTGCCTATTTCACAAAATATATAAAGAAGATATTACCAAAATGGATTTCCTACCTTTCTAATTCTCTTTGGTACTTAATTTGAGTTTGCATCATTTCGTCTTGTATATTATTTAACCTCTCTTGAGTCTCTTTTCTAGCTTTCTCATCAGCAGAAAATGGATTAGCTGCGTAAACCATAGTTTTTTGTACGATTTCCTTTTTGCCTTCTAAAACAAAAGTAATTATTTTTTAAAATAAAAAAGAACTTCCATAAACGAGCATACCTGAGTACAGTCTGTATAAAAGCTTGGCAACAGCACCTGAAGAAGAGAAAGAGAAAAAGCAAAATTATACTAAAAATAAAAATTCCACGGAAGATTGTACTCAGTCGGGGATAATATAGATGATATATATACCTTCTTTATTAGGTTGTGCAGATTCTTGGGCTTCCGCTGCAGCAATGGCATCATCCAGTCGTTGATCAAACCATGATTTAAACTCACTATATTTATTTTCAGTAAGTGCTTTTATTCTAGGATCTACAATAAGTACATACATTTAATTAAAACTATAACACAAAAATTCCTACCACATCATAATAATAGCTGAAATAAAGTTACAGTTAGCGACTTTTTTAAATATAAGAAGAATAATCTATCTATATAAAAGGCTAGGACGACAAGTAACACTGTTTGTCCGGTAGGGTAACTGTGCCACCTAGGAAAGAAATCTGAAAACTACCAACATCTGACATTTTAATCATATTTTGTTATTGAAACGGTACGTGATTTATTGCTAAGTCATTCTACAAATTGATTCAAATATCCTTATTCGGTAATTTTACTACTTCATCAGTATTTATTGTTCGTAAAATTACTAAAAATAATGGGTTACTATAATTGTAAGGTAAGATTTACATGTACATTTATTTTAAAAATAAAATGACGTTTAACAAACGTCAACGTTTTACCAAAATAATTATATAAAATTTATTATATATAATAAATTATTATATATAATAAATAATAATAAAATAAAAGAAAATTAATTAAAATTATATAAAATAGCTGGATTAAATAAGATAGCTTCTAGCGCCGCCTAGAAAAGAAATCTGAACTACCACTTGGCCTTTCCATAGTATTTTGTTCTTAAAACGATACGTTTAATTAATAATACTAACAATATTAGATGTTAATGTAATTTAATAATATTGGTAACAGTAATTTTAAGGATATATTTAATAAGCAAGATAATTTAAAGCTTTGTTAGTTTAGATTTAAACTCCTAGTGCCACCATCGAAACAAAACAAATCTGAACTACCAACTGACATTTTAACCTATAAGTCAATCAAATTTTGTTTTGAAACGATAGTGTTGGTTTATTGATAATTCAAATTTTTCTATTGTATCAGTACGACGACAATCCAAATGAATCACAATTTTATTGATGTTATTTCCATGCTTTTAAACCATTTCTTATCAAAATAATATGCTTACACGAGGAATTATAAACAAAATTAAAGGAAGAGCCATAAAAATTATTTCTGTATACGGCTGTAGATACTGGCCGTCAATGAAATTATATTTTTGTTTAAAATTTTGCAGACCAACGTAACGAAAACTCATTAACTAGAGATTTAGTCATTTTTCATCAAGCTCCAAACGAAAATCCTAATCAATTCCATGAAAAAGTCATGAGTCTTTTAAATACTACTTCAAATCACATCGAATTGCACACAGAACATGAGGAAGTTAAAAGAAGTAAAAAAGAATTTTTTCAACAAGCTCTAATCATGTTTTTTTGGCAGGTCTAAGAACACCCCTAGGATCAACAATTCGATCCATGAGACCACCAAATCTCGCGCTTGTTATCCAATATATTCAGAAAAAAAAATAATATTAGATATCTCAAAAAATCTTATAAGTATTCACGATGGCAGCCTGAGGTGTTCAAGCCCAATGGCCACAGCCATTCCTTGAGCCAAATCAAATGCTTTGCAACAACAGCCATTCCACAATAGTCCAAGAGGGATATTTCAACCCACTAGACTCCAACAAAATCAACAAATCACTCAATATGCACAAAATTCTACAACTAATCAATCCACTTTTCATAAACTAGATCCGTCTCAATCATATAAGCCAACACCTACAAGCGTATTAACACGCAAACCGGCAATAGACTCCAATCTCAAAGAAACTTACACTTTCAACAAACAGGCAGCCCCGATTCACCGTAGAAGCGCTCTTTAATATCGAACAACAAACGCAATTATGATGAAGGTATATAGACAGATACCCAGATTACTCTTACTATGAACAAAAAATCTAAGAATATGAGGACGTAAAATTTTCAAAGATTTCAAAAAGAAAAAGAAGGAACGTACAATTGCATTTCAATGTTGATAAAAGAAAGATTACTTACATTAAAATTCAAAAACCTCCTCTTACACTTCTTATTGATACAGGAGCCACTAAATCTTTCCTTAATCCTGATATAGCCAATAAATTCTACAAAAATAATATTAAATATGAACCACTTGTTATCAATTTTTCAGAATCATTCAAAGATTATTGTGTAGAAATTCCAATTTTTCCCGAATTTAATTCGGATATAAACTTAAAATTTTATCTTTTCAAATTTCAACAAGACATTTAATGGCCTTAATCTTAAGGCTTCTGAAAGCAAATCTCGATTTTAGGAATATGTCGACCCTTTCCTTAGAACCGATCATTTTAATACAGAAGAAGAATCTCAGGGCAGGAAATTTACATCATGCATATTTCATCATTCAGACAGTCCGTTAACATTTACTAACCAAATAAAACACCATATAAACCAGAGATGAAGTTCCGGTTTACACCAAGTCAAATCGGTATTCACAAATCCATAAGGATGATTGATTAAAGAATCATCAGACCGAGTCAATCGCCCTGATCATACCCAATGTACATTCCAAAGAAACCAGATGCCCCAGGAAAAATTAAATGGCGAATAGTTGTCGACTACAGGAAGGTGAACGAGAAAACCATCGATGACCTATTTCCAATTCCAAATATAACAGACATTCTAGAGAAACTAGGACGCTGCCAATACTTTTCCACCCTAGATGTAACCAGCGAATTCCATCAAATTGAAATGGAGGAAGGAAGAAAATATCTAGAATACTACATTTAATGTTGAAAATGGCCATTATGGAGAATAAAGGAGAATTTTACTAAAAGGACTTACAGGAGAAATATATCTAGTCTACATGGACGATTTTATTGTATTTTCAACCTCTCTTCAAGAACACATGGTAAATCTTAAGAAGTTTTTGAAAAATTAAGAGAAACAAGATTTAACATACAAGTTGACAAATGTGAATTCCTTAAGAAAAACTAATACTAATATAAAAATTACCACCAATATGTTATGCAAGGAACACTATTGTTTATAAATACAAAAATAATTAACTAACGCCTAAATAGGTTTTTAAAAACTCAAGATATGGCAACCCTGTTGGTATGACGATTCGTTTGAAGCGTTTCGAGGCCGAAAGTAATGCAATCTATCGATGATAAATATTAATCACGTTTCAGATGGAGCCATCTCCCTACGACAAAATTTGATGGCGGCAGTTCAAGATATAATTCTTGTTTAACGAAATTTTTTATATGTTTAGGAAATAATACTCAACGTTTTATTGCAAATATCTTCCACTTTTACAGTTTATTAAAATTTTTTCCGGTTTCTTACCGGTAGCTTTATTATAAAGCCGAAACATATTACTTTTTCCCATTGTGACAAAACTTTACATTCAAAAATTTTCAAAAAATTCATAAGTATTTCTTAGGGCACTTAGTTTTTTTTTTGAGTTTGTTCGAAAACGAAAACATGAAGTTTGCTCAAAATTTGTCAAAATACTCGTTTCTAGTTGTCACATATACCTTCACAATTTTTTTCAAATTTTTCGAATGTGGTGTTTGTCTTTTGGGGTGCAGGTCAACCTTAAGACTAACAATATAAGCATATTTATTAATAAAACAGAGGTTCTTTGTTTCGTTAGCTTGGTTTTCTCGTCTGATTATATTGTAGTAAGTGTAGTAAATAATTTAAATGAGCTTACTTTCGCAAATAAACGTTAACCCTATAAAATATTATAAATTGTTAGGAGCAGTGTTGCCGCTACAACTACATACTGAATATTAATAAGTGGGATATTGGAATAGAGAGTTTGAGCTGTTTTCATTTACCCCTAGTTTACATTTTTTAGTACACCCTACTTTTAGAAATCTTGAATAGAATTATGGCGCTTTTAAGTTCGATTGAAGTTTACCTACTCCCACTTGTTATCTTTTATTTTTTGTAAACTATATTTATGTGCCGTATTGTATTCTTTTGTGTAGATCCCTGGTTTACATTTAGGGGAAGTAACATTTATTGTGTATTATTATCTTTCATTATTAACTTACGTTCAGTCTCTTAGGACTAGTTTTGTGCAACAAATGCACCTCTTTTGTGATAACTTTGTATTATTTTACATAGTACAGTTAGTATTTATTTTTGCCTTTGTTTATCATTAATTCCATCAATTCCTTGAATGAGGAGCCATACTCTCTCCTGAGGCCAACCGATATGTAGCTTCGTCATTTTTTTTAATTTTTAAACTTTTTGTCCTTGTGTTGTGTTAATGTATGATTTTTAATGTTTATGACATTCTTCATTTATTGTTGGATATGCCAAATCTAAAACGTCCCTGAAGATGCTCTAGGAGCGAAAGTACTAGGGCAAGATTTAATAAATAAACTGTGCTCGATATCTGCCTTTTAGTTGATTAAAGCTATTCATTTATTTGAGATGTGATCTCTGTTTTATATAGTTCATACCTGAATGCTTATTTAACTTTTATTATATATATTTACCTGATTTGACTTTAATTATTACTTAGACTTTATACTGTGTGTGTAGTATGCTGTCTTGCAAAGGAAGTCTTTGTAATTCCGAAGTAGAATTTCTGGTACAGACTTCTACTTCAACAATATTTATCTGAGTATGTCAGATACATTACCTCCTTGTTTTTTGTTTTTTTTTTATTGTGGGTCTGAGCTTTGGTGCAGATGTACATTCGTATAAGTGGATCTTACTTAAATGGTAGGTTGTCTGCAGGGTATGGTGTCGGGGGTCCATGGTACATAGGACTGACGTCTTCGAAGAACGCTGTCGTGGTTTAACCGTGAACTATGGGCTACTGGGCGCATGCCAACATGGCTTCAATCGATCCTTTGGTATTATCCATGTACAGCACCAAAGTCTGCAAATGCCCGTTTAATTTAATTTTATTAATTCTCCCCATATTTCAGGACGGATACTAGAATCCGTTGAGTAATGTATAATTTCCCAGAGCGTTTCCCTCTAAAAACCTTATACCATACCATTTTATTGGTTACCTTATAACAGTACCCAATTTATTTTTAGTTTAATGAATACCGAAATTCATCGAGTAATTTTTGTTTCAGAGATATTCTTCGAAGTGATTTATATACTTATAATTTATTA